CTCTAGGAAATTGAGGATTAAAGGAATTTATGAAACTAATGTAGATGAAATGTAATTCTGCCTGAACTGGGGCTGTAGGAATAGGAATTTAAATTTAAATTTGTATGTCTCTTTTTAGGTTTTCTGAGGATTTGATAGTGGGATATTTTTTCCTTCCAGTCCTAAGCTAAATGCTAGAGTGTAGCACCTTTTTTTTTTATCGTTTCAGTGTTTTCAAATAGTCTCCCTCCCTCCCTTTCCCCCTCTCTTCCTTCCTATCCTTCTTTCTTTTTGCTTCACAATTGTCCAGACTATTCTGGTAATTTAACATCTCCAACCGTTTCCCTAGAATCTCTTCTTGACTTTCAACTGGGCAAAAATATTTTAACCCAGTATTATATTACAGTGATGTAGGAAAATTGAGGATCAACAAAATGCCTCCATGCAAGAGCAAGTTTTACTTATCTTACAAATGATAGCATTCCATCATTTACATCTAAACAAAAAAGTAGATTAGTTTACTAGACCATTCTTTCCCTCAGTGTAATAATGCAGCACTGAATGCATTCATTTATAAACACCTAATTATCTAACTTTTGCTTTTCTGCAATCTCAATAAACTAACATCTTTAAGCAGATCCTCACTCAGTTTAAAAAGAAAAACATTTTAGTAGGATTAAACAGAACTTTGATACTTAGGTATAAATCATTAAGAAAACATGCCTAATGAACTCAAATGCATGGGTGATGTTTTTCAGAATATTTCCATAGACATTATAGTCAGAGATACTACACTTTTAGATAAGAAGTGTACCTCTTTCTACATTTTTCTTAGCTTGTAATTCTCATATTTCTGCAATTTTGCCCATGGAAAAACTGTCAGAATCCCCAACACTTATACATGTAAGTAAACATTAAAGGAAAAACAGATCTTATACCTTGAGCTAAATTCAATTTTGTTTTAGTGATGTGGACATAAAGAGTATTTTAGAGTGTGGCTGATTAATTTAATAAGACCATGTAGCTGCTGCCAAAATTTTTCTCTGCTGCTCACATTAACTGGATGCACTCTTGTGAGCCATGACTGCAACCAGCCATCTTGCTTGGGTAAATTGTGGACAGCGGACCTTGTTGCTACAATGAAGACTCTAGGCTCTGGTGTTAGAAAGACAAGGGTCTGAATCTCAGAGTCCACCAGTCAGTAAGATTCTTAATTTCCTTCAGCTTTAGTTTTCTTTAAATAGAAATAATATTAATAACATCTGCCATCATAGAGTCAATGTGAGGACTAAATGAGATAATGTACATAAAGTGCTTATCCCATGCTATATGAAACATGAAACATTTCACAAAAAGTATTGTCCATAATTAGATGCAGTAGTCTGAAATGGTTTTTAAGAAAATTCAGAGGTATACTGAATCAGTAGTATGTGAAAGCTCATGTGTTTACTGTATTAAGAATGCCATTTTTACTTGCTAGCACATAAAATTATATAATAGAAAGAGATTAATGATGTTAAGAAAATAGAATTTAGCTGAAACTTTTACTTAATAAATCTAGTCTCAGGATAAAAGGAAATAGCAGCAATAGTGGAATCCCGTAGCAAAAGTGAAGAGAGAAAGACAAATACGTTCTAAGTCCCGGCCCAGCAATAAGTGTACATACCATGTTGCAATGGAAAAAGTACATGGACTGGAGGCAAGATACATGAGTTTTTGTTCTTTCTGTATATATTGATGTTGTTGGATTGGATATTTTCAGGGTTCTCTTTGAGCTTTTACTTAATGCAAATCTGTGCAAAATCTGGCTTGCTTTTTCCAAGGAATAAAAGTTTAAATAAATAGGCTTTGTGGTAGGCTGAGTAATGGCCTTCCCAAAATGTTCACAATCTCATTCCTGGAATCAACAAAATATGTTATCTTCTATGATAAAAAGGACTTTGCAGTTGTGATTACATTTAGGAATCTTGAGATGGGAAGATTATATGGGATTATCCCTGTGGGCCCAGTGTAATCACTAGAGTCCTTATAAGAGTAGGAGGAGGGGCAGAGTCAGAGAGAGATGGAGGTGTAACAAAGGAAGCAGAGGTCAAAGGGATGCAGGCCATTTAGAAGCTTCTAGAAGTTGGAAATGAATGAGGAATAGATTCTTCTTTAGAGCCTCCAGAAGGAATGAAGCCTTTGATTTTAATCCACAGAGACTGATTTTTAGACTTGACTTCCAGAGTTGGAAGATAATAAATTTATGTTGTCTCAAGCCACTAAATTTGTGGTAATTTGTTATAGCAGGAATAGGAAAGGAATACAGGCTTTATCAGTGTGGTTTTGCTAAAAGGAGGCAGGTTGAGTTCCTTGAGGTACTATGTAGAGACATTTGGTATATGTATAATTATGGTTTTTGAGTGAGCTTTTACATTTCTGGTAATTATTACTAATGGCAGGGAAATAAATAAAGACTTGAAACCTATTGCATACTTCAAACTCTCTATCCTCATTCCTCCATTTTGAATTTTCCCAGTTTCCTCCCATGACTATTTCTTATGAGTGAACTTTCCAATCAATCTATGATTCCACTTCACAAACATTCTTGGAATAAGAGCTCAGAACCAAACAGTTAATATATTAGTTGACACTAACGTAGGAAGTATTTTTACAGAATAGGTCGTATGTAAAGCATAAGACACACTATGTATACCATGAAACTGACACATTGAGTAGATATTAGCTATGACCTAAGTTAACTTAACACGAGAACACATCACAACTTGTTCTAAGGATTGGTAGGATATAAGGTAGGTTGGCTGGGTGAGTTATAAAACAAGTGTGTTTTATAGGCCGGGCGCGGTGGCTCACGCCTGTAATCCTAGCTCTCTGGGAGGCCGAGGCAGGTGGATTGTTTGAGCTCAGGAGTTCGAAACCAGCCTGAGCAAGAGCGAGACCCCGTCTCTACTAAAATTAGAAAGAAATTAATTGGACAACTAAAAATATACAGAAAAAACTAGCGGGCATGGTGGCGCATGCCTGTAGTCCCAGCTACTTGGGAGGCTGAGGCAGGAGGATCGCTTGAGCCCAGGAGTTTGAGGTTGCTGTGAGCTAGGATGACACCATGGCACTCTGGCCTGGGCAACACAGTGAGACTCTCTCAAAAAAAGAAAAAAAAAAAAGTCTGATAAGAAATTAGACCCACAGGATTCTAAAAGAAATTAGGCAATGTATGCTCAAGTACCAAATTATTTCAAAATTAAGTAAATTGAACCAACTCATATACTATGATAAAAGGCTAAAATTAATTAAATTAAAATTAAAAATTAACTAAAATTAAAATTGCCATACAAATAAAAAAAAGTGTTTTTATGGACTTAAACTAGGCTAGAATAGAAGTCAACTATCCAGTGTGTCACCAGTGACTGATAATAACCATGACAAGGAGCTGGTAATACATGATTGTTGAAGAAAAACAGCCACAGCCACCAGGGCATCTTTTCAGTAAATGTGTGCTCCTCATCTTATTATCAATAATGAACCTGGTATGATTTCTGCCTTTTCATCCTCAATCACCTAGTATTTGTTGAATATCCAAGGCACTATGAGAAGATAATACATCTGTGGGTATCGGTATACGTGTGGGATAGATGTTGATAGGATTGGGGCAAGTGGGCATTGCAGGTACTGTATTTGCCCCTCTAGGAGGGGTTACAGAATTGGACCCTGAGGTGCTCCTGCTCTGAGGTTCTGGGCATACCCATACCATATTTCCCTTTTCCTCCTGTCTGCCCTACTCAGGAAAAGGAAGCTACCAAGAGCTCTACATCCATGCACAGTGAAACGGTCACAGGGCGTCAATGCCAATGCTTCTGAACAATGCATCTGGTTCTCAGCTCCCCAATCTTATTTTTATTTTGCACTTTTAAAAAAGTGGCATGATACACAAATCATTTTATTTATTTCATGCTTTAATTTTTTTTTTTTTTTACAAGATTTCGGATTATTGACAGAGTGCACTTCGTAGAGGCTGGCTGTAGGTGTCACTGTAAATGGAAGAAAATACAGTGAAGAATAAAGATAAAATCACTAGATGACATTACATGTTTAAGTAAATGGAAGGCATGACTCAGTTTACCACTACTGTTATTTACACAGAACTTTTGAATCATACGTACATTACATATGATAAAGTACATATAAAATTTAAACAAATTACTTGATTAAGTAACAATAAAGGCATTTTAAAATTTTCACCCACAATAAAAGTAGATCTTATTTTAAATAAGTAAGTGTTCATACACAGGTTGGCTGTGATTTATTCTGCCAAACTGAAAGCCTGGAATAATGAAATCTTCAGGTGGATCATGTGAGACACTTCACTTACTGGTGAAGTAGGAGATAGCTACCTAATTCTGCCAGAAATTTTACATCATAATCCTCCTTATCCTTCCCCCATCAACAAAGGGATACCATGTAATTTTGGGAAACAGTATATGTCTATTGAGAGAACTATTGAGAGAGATATTGAAATTCTTGTGGTTTGGAGAAAAGGGACTAGCACAAAGTCCTCTAATACATGCTATAAAACTCTTTAAATTCCAAATTAAAGACACTCTTCCTGCAGTGCCATAGGCCCAACTACATCTTATGCTGCCTTTGCTAAAACTTTCAACTTAGCTAATTGGATAATTTTTGCTCTGGGAACACATTTCCAATTTTATAGTAGAAGTTGATGGGAAAATAAATTCACTCTGCAGAAAACTGCTTTACAAGCAAATGTGCTAGAACATTTTTCTAAAGTGAGGGATACAGGCAATTCACTCACATGAATTTAGCGAATTTTTGTTTCCTTTTAAAAATCTGAAGGGAAGATGATGTATGAACAGAACATGTCTGCACTTGAGCAGCATGATCCTAGGTATTGATATATGTAATAAAAGAGATCAAAGCATGCCAGGTAATTACTAAGTACTCTTTCTTTGCATTACACAGAGGTCAAAATATGTGCTAACTCAACAGTGCATCACTGCAGTGCATCACTGCACTGACTGTGCATTTACTAATTTAAAGTATATATCTCGATTTCTCAGGAGCTCTTGATGAGTTCCCTGTTCCTTTATTTTTCCATCATGCAGAACCACTATCGAATCTGCATTCTGTATCGTGGAGAGTCTGTGAGCGACCACTAGGCATGTCCTCCCCATCCTGGCTTTATCAAGGGCATGCTGAACCACCTGGAAGAGAGAAGGATTTGTGATCACAGTTTGGGTTGGATGCTAATAAGTTTGCCTAAGTCCAATTAAGTAAGGTAATCTAATAACTTTATTTTATTTTGCATACCCCAAAAGGAATTGCCCTACTTTGTGAAATATTCACCCTATTTAACAGAAATGTAGAAAAAGAAATTATAGATACATTAAATAAGACTTTCAGGTGGAAAAGCATTTGTGACAATGAATAAAACTAAAATGGTTGGTTGTAAGTAAGTGGTTCTAAACTCAAAGTCAGGAAGTAGTATTTTTACGCCTAAATAGAATTGTCTAATTTATTTACCTCATTTCTTCTGATAGATTATTATTATTATTATTATTATTATTAATGGTAGGATTTAGCTGTAGAACTTTCCTGGCTAAAATAGCATCTCAGCTAACAATGAGGTTTATAATGCTGTATAAAGGAAATGGGAGTGAAGATCAGTATTTGTTAAATGTATAAAATGTTTCAGGGATGACTATCTGGTTTAAATTCTTACAATAAACCCTTAAGGTGGAGGTATTTTCATTTTTCTGATACATGAACTGAGGTCTGAACAAGGCCATACTGCTAGGAATCCAGGATAATCACTCAGCTATGTCTAATTCTAAAAGTTACATTTTGTCTTTCATAACACACTGTTTCTTTGGGAATCAAGAATGACAGACATCTACAAATGGCAATCATACATGGATTAACTTAACTTCCTGGGCTCTTAGGTTAGACACCCTCTATTAGAATTTAGGGAAGTTATTCAACCTTTCTAAGCCTTAGTGTGCTAATCTGTAAAATGGCTATGCTGATAAAAGAAGCTAATTCATGGAGTTGTTGTGAGCATTGAGATAATAGCATATAGTGAACACTGCACAAATATTAATGATCATTCATTTAACTAATATTCATTTACTGAATAAGTGCCTACTATGTGCAAGAAACTACTAGGAGAGAAGGACATTGGAAAATTAGGCATCTGAAGGTGATACCTTCAGGTATATTGTCGTATGTCCCTGTGCTTCTTTGTTTCCTGCTCAGACCAGGCTGATTAAGAGTCCATAGAAGGTAGAATAACTAGCAGACTCTGACATTGCAGTATAGATTTCTCTTTTACCCATCTATATTAACTTTTTAATTTGTTTGGCATCATTGGAATAATAATAAAATGGAGAAGTAATTTTTCTTGGGCTCTTTACTTGAAGGAAAAACATTTCAAGAATTGGGCCCCTTTTGATAATAAGACCAAGTCAAGTGAGAAAACCTTTCCAGAACATGAGATGCTCTCTGTCCCAACTCTTTCCAACCTCCCCACCACTCACCGACCTTTTTTTAAAAGGTCAAAGCCTTAATTAGAACTGGTGACCCTATAACTACGATTCTTTTCAGGCCTTTCTTTTCCCAGACTGAGCCTGGTTCCTTCCATGATACTGCATGTTCATATTTGATATTATATTCTGAGACGAAAGAAGAGAATATTACCTTTTCACTCTCATTATCAAGGGCTGAAGTGGCCTCATCCAACACTAAAATTTTTGGTTTCTGGAGAAGAGCCCTTGCAATAGCTAGTCTTTGTTTCTGGCCGCCAGAAAGCTGTGCTCCTTTCAGTCCAACTTGCGTGTTGTATTTCTATTGCAGGAACATGCAATTAAAAAAGCAAGACTGGTTTATTTAAATTAGCATGGCACCTGTGGGCAAGAACCATCCAAATATTTCAATTTTTTTTTTTTTTTTTGAGACAGAGTCTCCCTGTGTTGCCTGGGCTAGAGTGCCATGGCGTCAGCCTAGCTCACAGCAACCTCAAACTCCTGGGCTCAAGCGATCCTTCTGCCTCAGCCTCCTGAGCAGCTGGGACAATAGGCATGTGACACCATGCCCAGTTAATTTTTTCTATATATTTTTAGTTGTCCGATTAGATTAATTTCTTTCTATTTTTAGTAGAGACGGGGTCTCGCTCTTGCTCAGGCTGGTTTCGAACTCCTGAGCTCAAACAATCCGCCCGCCTCAGCCTCCCAGAGTGCTAGGATTACAGGCCTGAGCCACCACGCCCGGCCTAAATATTTCAAATTTTGCTACTCTTGAAAATTTGTGTCCCAACAAGTACTGAAATCTATTCTTGGGTTTTGTTGCAAATAAATGCTAAACCAGAAGTCAACACTACCATTTCATTTACATATCTAATCTGATCACAAACAGCAGACCTTTGCCATTATGTTTCTAGAAAGAAATTTTTGGAATTAAAGCACAAGAAAAAAATTATTGGCAAGAAAAAATTTGCTGTAAATACGAATCCTTTTCCGTTAAGTTATATTACCTTCCATTTTCAGGTCATAATGATTCAAAGTATTTAAAAACAACAAAGAAATCATTGGGTTCCTTCATGTTGGCTCTTGCTAAACCTCTATGAGCACATCCCTCCAGACACCAGGATGCAATTCTCAGTGGTGTAGGCATCTTCCTGGAAATAAGTCAGGTTGCCATCTTGAAACAGTCTATTCCACTTTCGGGCCACCAAATGCTAATGGTGACATTTAGCACTTCACAGTGTTCCACAGCTCCTCTACTTACTAATAACCCCATTCCTCCAGTATTTCCCTCCATGGAAGTGTAAAGAAAATTTCACACATATTCTGAAGTCACCATGGTCCCGAATCACAGTTGGTCAGTTCAGTTGCTGTAAGAAGGTTCTTGCCTGCTTTCTAGATTATCCCATTGACTTTGACTCCTTCCGAGGCGTCACACTGTTTTCTAGTAGCCCTTGACAGCTGACAGTCTAAGAAACCTATGCCATTGGTACCCAGACAAGAACGTGTGGATGGATCAGCTCCACTGAGAAAGCAGGTGCCAGTGTACCACCTTCCAAAGGTAACTTCTGTAGCAGCATTTCAGGGAAGATGCAATACATGATTCATATGCTGTTTATTTTATTTCAATATCCTAGAGAAGCTTAAATGAATTGCCTTTCCCTCCGCATCTGACTGCCTCCAGGAGATGCCTTTTGGGTAGAGTGGGTGTCAAGAACCTGTAGTGCAACCTCATAACAAAATGTGTCTATTTCAACCTGAAGTTTACTTTTCAATTTAAGATGCACAGGTGTTTGCTTTATACCAAACAATGGCTGTTTGAATTCTAAAGCCCAGTAAAAGTGTCTTTTCTAAGGTGAATGCTCTACAAAGAACACAGGCTTTAACTATCTCCTCTGTGATTTCTCTGGGACTGTCAGCAGGCCGGGCCCCTTCCTTCTAAAATGCATTTTATTAAATTCGGAACCACAGGGCAGGATAATCAGATAAAACTATGTCTGTCATTCATTTCCAAACACTGCAAAGTCCCCACTTAAATTAGAGGATTCAATCTTACACCAGAAATTGGGAGGTGAGGTGGGAATGTTAATGAGCTTACAGCCCTTTCTGCCAGTCAAGCTTAAATTATACTTGAATTCTTCTAGGGTAGCTGAAGAAAACGCCAAACTAACTTCAGAATCGCTTTGCATTTCTTGGCCTTCTCTGGCTTGCAGGAGGATGTACGTTTAAAGAATGAATTGGATGAAAAGTAAATTCAGAAGTTTTGCCCATCATTAAGCAGAACAGATTACAAATGTGGGTATACACATGGTCTCCATAGCCACCTAGAAATAGTCGCATATGTTTAAATTGAAGGTTTTTGCTTTTTTAAATGAGCAACCATGGAGTTCATTCTTTCCTGTTTAACTGAAAATGTGATCCTATTTTCTGGCAAACACGGGGATGGTGAGTGCCCTGAAATCCACCTCTTTTATGAGAAGCTCGAGGGGATGATTCCAGCGGTCCAAATCCTGCTTAAGGAGCCATGATGTGCGGATTGGGGGACATCCACACCTTGTCTGTTTCTCAGAGGATCCTTGAAGTCAGGCAGTGTTGTGTCAACTTCTCTCCCATGCCCCAGACCCATATTTCCAAATGCTTGCAGGATGTTTCCGTGAGATACCCCATAGCTGCATTATAGTCCGCATGCTCCAAATTGACTCCTTACTCTGCACCCTCCTGGTTTGAGTTGTCAGACAGATCCATAATCTCTTACCTGAAACCCTTAGAGCTACATGTCTTTAAAAATTCTGATATTTTTAATCTTAGAAGGAAAAAATACTATAAATTATACACATACTATTTATTACCTATATTTAATATACAGTATATTATATATTTAGCACCCCCAGAAGGATCTGGGACAGCAACTGGTAATCAAATATATGAATATTTGTACAGACACATTTCAACATTCATTCTGAGCGAGATAAATAAAGACTATATTATAGCCTCATGTTATTTTGCCACCAAATGAGTTTTTACCAAACATACAAAATCTGTGTGTGTGTGTCGGAGGAATGCACAGAGTTTAAGAGCTTTTGGAATCTGGGACTGGAGATAAGAAGATGTGGACCTGCGTATCTCTCATCCAGACTGTTGTAAAGCTCTAGGACTTGCCTCGTTAGTGGCAGTTTCTGCTGTTGCCACACAGCCTCTTGGATGAGCAAACAAAAGGCTCAGTTTCAACAGCTAGTTTATTTATTTATTTATTTTAAATTTGATCACGTCATTTCCCTGCTTAACATGTCTACTAGCTTCCTATTTCTAATAAGACAGGGTCCACACTTTTTAGCCTGGCATATCTTAACCTTGACATTGTCCTTGCTCATATTTTGGTCTCCTCTTCTCAATTCCTTACTCTTTGCCTTATGTTCCAAGATTTTTAATTTCCTCCTAAACACCTAAAACCGTTTTACATGTATATGTTTCTTTATGAGTTTATTCTGTCTGCTAAGAATGGATTTGCGCCTCTCTGCCGGGTGAGCTCCTACTCAATCTTCAAGGCCCAGTTCACAGCAGCATCCCCGGTGCGGTGTTCTCGGAGTTTCCGTCTTCCGCACTCTCATCGCTGCTCCGGGCTTTATCCCATCCGGCTGCTCCGTGTGCCGCGCATGTCCTTGTTCACTTTCCACAGACAATCTCGAGCTAAGTCCTGGCAATTCCACTTTTACAGTATCTTTTAAATCCATTTCCTTGTTTTATGTCACTTTATAATGATTAATTTCGCCCTTCAAAACCTATCCCTGGAAATAGCTCCTAACTGATCTCCCAAACTCCCCGAGTCTTTGTCACTCCCAACCACTAGATTCCATTGTCCAATTCCAAACACGTTGCCTATTCAAAAATCTTCAGTGACTCCTTAGTAATTGTCAAAGTTAAAATTTCTTTCCCTGCCTGCTATTTAAGTGCCCAGTTTTACCTTTACATGTTTATCAAATACCATACCTATATAGTCACCTCTAAACTCTCTAAAGACCTCCTCTGAATCCCCAGCCAGCATGACTCCTCTCCCCTCTAAACTCAGATAGCAGTTTGTTTACACTCTTTGTGCTTTATAATTATTTGTATCTTTGTGGATCTGTGTTCATCTCAGCTATTAGGCTTTATATTCCTAAAAGTAGGACTATATTTTATTTGTCTTGTTTATCTTCTCTAAATAGCAGCCCACTGGTTTGCTCAGTAGCTCTGTGTGGAGTGACTAAGTGCATGGATGCTGGAATGGAGCAATGAAGACGGGGATGCAAATTTTGAGGGAGCAGGACGTGACAGATGGAATAATCCATAAAGTTCGAGGTAAAGGTAAAAGAAATCCTCAGAAAGCAAAGTGTGGCAACCACTTCAATTTGCTGAATAATTTTTGGAGAGGATTAGAATTAATAGTATCTTGATGCATTATATGTAAAGACTTTCTTCCTATGCCTGCTTTACATATGGATATATATTTTTTGCTTATTGAATGGAAGAGCTGAACTTCTCTTCTAGACTTTTCCTCTACAATTTTTACATGAAACTACTGCCGTATATTTTGGAGGGGATGCTGGGCCCCATGTATTTGCTCTAGAAAATTAATTCTACCCAAAGGAAGTGCAACAAATTACAAGGTTTGCTTCTACTTTTCTTCCCCAAATACCTAGGTCAGAGCTGTAACATGCTCTAAGTATCACTGTGAATACAGGGGTACCCTGCTTGCCAGCTGTGGTAGTTGCATTGGACTGCCCTTCTGAAAGGAGGGGTGGGGCACCTTTGCTTCCATCTCTAAAACCCTAGAAACACCATGGTCATGACCTCTCCTCCACCTCCCCACAGTATAGCACAAAGAATCCAGGTTCGAATCCTGAGCTTCGGTACAGCTTTAGAAAAGTTATTGAACCTCTTTATCTGTAAAAGGGGGTGGCTACATCCATCCTTGCTGTATTACAGTGGACATTTAGCTCTTGGTTCCCAGAAGAGCTGGGTAATGCATGGCTGGTTTCCTCTCTTTCTTTTCCTCAACCAACTCAACATAAGAGGGCAGCCTTGTCCTATCCAGAGTACTAACCCAAGGCATTTAATAACATGTAGTTTTTCTAAGAATTCTCTGATTTTCATTTTTTAATGATTTTATTTTGGCACCAGATTTCCTTATGGTTCTACCATGTTCTGGGGAAAACAATGATATGAAGGTAAATTAAAGTTAAATTTAAAAATATCAAGAAATAAGCTGATCTTTTAAAACAATTTTTTTTAACATCTTGGTTGTCAAAGTCTATTGTAAAATGTTAACACGATAAATCTTTACAGAATGTAGTTTTGGGTAAATCTGAGAAATAGTATAATGAAAAGAATAAAAGATAATAAAGAATTTAAGAATAAAAGTCAAATGGTACAAATATAATTAGCCCCTTGCAATAGATAAATTAAAACAAACTATTGGAGGCCAGGCACGGTGGCTCACGCCTGTAATCCTAGCACTCTGGGAGGCCAAGGTGGGAGGATTGCTTGAGCTGAGGAGTTTGAAACCAGCCTGAGCAAGAGTGAGACTCCGTCTCTACTAAGAATAGAAAGAAATTGGTCAAACAACTAAAAACAGAAAAAATTAGTCGGGCATGGTGGTGCATGCCTGTAGTCCCAGCTACCTGGGAGGCTGAGGCAGGAGGATCGCTTGAGCCCAGGAGTTTGAGTTTGCTGTGAGCTAGTCTGACACCACGGCACTCTAGCCCAGGCAAGAGAGTGAGACTCTGTCTCAAAAAACAAACAAACAAACAAACAAAAAACCCAAACTATTGGGATTATGTGGATAATAATCTGACCACAAATTAGCAATGCAGTGAGTGCCTTGGTTAAAAAGAGAATTATCATTGAAAGATATTCACAGGGTCACCATATTTATAAAACGTATGTTAATCCTTCCTATATACTTAGTGCTGTAGAACCTTTCCAGAGTAGGAGAAATTGTACTGATGGCCTGTTTCTCGTTGCAGGCACCATTCGGTGTGGGCAGGAGATAGTGAGGGAAGATCTAGCAGCATAAAAGTTACCTTCTACCAAAGAACAGGGCTCTAGATTAGTTGTTTGATATATTGGTTGTTAAACTTAGCTATTTCCTTTTAAAGTGAGATAAAAAATCACTTTATACATATTTGTCTCTAAAAGTATTTCTATTTTTATTTTGTTTTATTTGAGAGAGGGTGTGTGTACATATGAACGCAGACATTATAAGCACTTAACATTACAATTACTTGTCTCTATGCACTGTTTCTGGATTTGTATCAATGCTTGTTGTCCTAAAGCTCTCTCTGCAGTTAGCCAAGATTTTTAACTTTTCTGAGATTTTGCATCAGCTGTCACAGCCAACACAGAGATCAAGGTGACAAAAATGACAGGCGAGGATCTTACACTGTAGTGGGGAGGGAAGATACTAAACAAATAAATAAGCACTCAGGGGCATTCAGACCATGATAAGTGCCCTGAAGACAATGTGATAGGGGATTGGAGTGGTGGGGACTCTTTCAAATAGGGTGGCCAGGGGAGGCCTCTGCAAAGGTGACCTTCGAGAGGGCTTGAAAGTGAAGGAGCTAGCTATGCAGAAAACCAAAGGAAGGGAGGTCTGGGCTGCAGAAACAATTTGCAAATGTCAATGTCCTCAGGTGGGGAGCAAGTTGGCGTTGTCATGAGACAGGAAAGACACCAGCGCAGCTGTAGCCAAGTGAGCACACGGTAAGGCTGGCGCTGGGGTGGCAGCGGGGGCCAGATCCCAGGGGGCCTCAGCAGCCACATGTGGAGTCTGGGCTTTATTCTAAGTGTTAACGGGTGTCATGAGGCAGTTTTAGGCAGGGGAGGGATAGCACCTAGTTTGTGTTTTTAAGGGATTCCTCTGATTTCAGTGAGAAAGAAGAATTATACAGGAGCAAGACTGGAAGGCAGATTAAGAGGCTACTACAGTGATCCAGACAGACAGGGTCACGGATAGATAGATAGAAGAATCAAGATATGAAAGTGAATCCAGTGACTATTAATGCATTTTTGTCTTGGAAAAAGTCGTCACATGGAAATCCCAAATTTGGCTTTTTACATCTGACTTTGTGTTTTATATCTAACTTTAGATACTGGCAATAAATAAATTGTATAATCCGAGGAATACACAAAAACAACCACTTAGGCCCAGTAACTACTTAGGCTTACTTGGCAGCTTCGTAATTCAGGATTGCAGATATTTTCTTACCTCAGGGAGACCTTCAATGAAAGAATGAATGTTTACTGCATTCGCTACTTCTTTGATCTCCTCCAATGGCACCACGTGGCTGTTATCACCATAGGCGATGTTCTCGGCAATGCTGCAGTTGAAGAGCACCGGCTCTTGAGGGATGACTGCTATTTGGGAACGCAGCCACTGCACATTCAGTTCCTTTGCATCTACACCATCGAACAGCTGCCAAAAGCAGAGTGGAGGACCATGTGTTAAGATCCAACTGTATCATGTTACGGTTCACTGTATTCACACATATACAAATCACAACAAGAAGGTTAGGAATTCAAGCTATTTCAAAGTATAATGTTACCCAAGGAAGGCTCATAAATCATATGTTGTATAGAAGCAAACAGCGTGTGACTCACGTAAATGCCGACTTCTAAACTTACCTGACATTCCTTTTTTCTTTCTTTCTTTTTTTTTTTTTTGAGACAGAGTCTTACTCTGATGCCCTGGCTAGATTGAGTGCCGGGGCGTTAGCCTAGCTCACAGCAACCTCGAACTCTTGGGCTCAAGAGATCCTCCTGCCTCAGCCTCCCAAGTAGCTGAGACTATAGGCATGTGCCACCATGCCCGGCTAATTTTTTCTCTATATATATACATATTTTTTTTAGTTGTCCAGATAATTTCTTTTTATTTTTTTTAGTAGAGACAGGGTCTCGCTCTTGCTCAGGCTGGTCTCGAACTCCTGAGCTCAAACAATCCGTCCACCTCGGCCTCCCAGAGTGCTAGGATTACAGGCGTGAGCCACTGCGCCCGGCCTTACCTGACATTTCCAAGAGTAGTCAAGAGACATGCCTGGAGCCTGGAGTAAGCCATGGTGCTCTATCCTGAAGTCAAATGAAAAATGACAAACTACCCCTCACCACTGTAAGAGGACCCAACTTTATTATAGTCCAATGAGAGGGTAGGTGTAGACTGATACAGTAGTCCACAGGTAGAGATGTGTTATTTTGCACACAGCCATGTTTATGCACATGGACATACAACAACGTTCAACTGATACTTGATGCACATGCCTGCTATGTGATGGGGACTCTTCAGATATTGGGGAAACAGTGGTAAATAAGAGAAAACTCTTGCCCTCTGTGGCTTATATGCTAATGGAGAGAGGCAGGCAATGAACCCACTAACAAATAACTCAAAAAACTCGGAAAAAGAAAGTACCCTGGAGACAGTAATGGGAAAAGACTGACTGAGGGAGTGGGGAAGGTGTGGAGGGGGCGGGGGGCTTCCTAAGGAGGCCCAAAGGAAGGAACATTAAGAACGTGACATGAATGATGAGAGGGAGCCAGCAAGGAAGTTAGAGTAGAAGGTGCTGGGCAGGGGAATAGCAAGAACGAAGGTCATAGATGTGTTTAAAGAATTTAAGGAAGCCAGAGAGATTGATGCACAGTGTGTGATGATTTGGAGAGTGATATGAGAAGAGTTTGGAGAGGGAGGCAGGGGCCAGATCGTGAAGGACCTTGACTGATGGCATGGACTCTGGTTTATTCTAACTGCGGTAGGGGACCACTGGAGGGTTTGAGGGAGGGAGTATGCTAAGCTGGGTACTAATAAATGAGTGTTACCTAGTTCAAGAGAGCCATTTGGGACAGCCCTGTTTTGCAAATATTCATTGAGAATCTGTAACGGGGAAGAGACTGCACATTGCAGGAGAGTGAGGACTAACATGACAGTCTTTGACTTTTAGGGGCTTATGGATTTTTGTAAGGGAGAGGAGAGGTAGGACGGGAAGCTTTTTGTGGGTGTATGTGATGTGGTGGTGACTCGGGGGAGAGAATAATGGAAAACCAGAATGTAAGGTATAGTAAGACACCTGCCAGGTAGGAAAAAACAATCCTTGGATTCAAAGGATGGAGAGGTTACATCTTTTAAGAGGGTGGACACACGGCTTAATGGAGCTGATTCAAGGAAGCATCGGTCATGCATAAGGTTTTGACAATTGGGAGGTGGGGATGGCCAGTGGGAACAGCAGAAACCTGAACTAACGAGTGGAGGAAACTATTATCTCTATCTAAAACCAGAACAGAATAAAGAGCCGTGATGTGGACATTGGACCTGACCTCCAACACCCATATTCCAAAAGGATTCCGTGGCTTATAAGATCAAAATTTCTGCTGTCAGAATGGCTGAAGAATCTTTGGGTCTTTGTATTTAACTTTAAAGTCCTAATCATCATTTTTGTTACTGGTTTACTTGCCTTCTTAGTTAAAAGGTGAGATAGAGATTTTTTTTCTTTTTAACTTCTGCATTGTTTGCCCTACCCAAACCAGTGAGAATGATTAAGCCCGAGTGAATGTTCAGGAACAGGACCACTAACCTCCAGATTAAGTGCATTTAAATTCAGCCTTACCACTTGTCCTTTCACAGGGTCATAAAATCTCTGCAGAAGTTGAACAGCAGTGCTCTTCCCACAGCCACTGCTCCCAACAAATGCTACTGTTGTCCCTTTCTCAATACTGAGGGATAAGTCATGAAGGACGAAAACATCTGGGCGACATGGATAGAAAAAAGAGACTTCTCGAAACTCCAAATGCCCTTCACATGTGTCCTGTGAAAGGAAGTTGACAGTGTTTAGAAAGGTGACTTAAGAAGGCTGTAACACATGGGAGAACATTGGCTAAGTGCTTTCTGAAAATTGTGCATATTTCCACAGCTGTTTTCATTTTAAACATGTATTCACCTTTGTAGAGCTGCTGACTGCCCATTGTTTTCTATCAGATTTGTTTATATTTTTGTATTTGTGGCCTGGTTATCTGCACTATGGACTTCATCAGTTCTTATACACCACTAGCTTCCTTAGGCTTCCACTACACAGATGCAGTCTGTTCTGCAAATTAGCTGTTTGACCAGCTGCTCTGAATAAATATATCTTTATCTTTTTAAAATTTGGCTTGCGCTTTACAGAACCTTATTGCTTAATTCAGAAGAGCTGGGTTTCTCATAAACTATACGTATACATGTCATTTTTGTAAATTGGGCCATGTTTTACAGTTAAGGTCCATTGTGCTTTGAATTCCGATTTATCTTCATTTTCAATTGATCATTATTTGACAGTGACACTTGCCTAAAAGTTTAGTTGTCTATATCTCAGTCTCTTTCCTGGTTGATGATTTGTAAACCAATACTTATCTACACCGGGGAGGTTTAAAAAAGACTTTCCAGAACTATCACTAAATCATTAACTTTCCCTTTATGTATTTGGTTCATAAGATTTTAGGTTGTTTTGAACTTCATGTTTGCCCCAATTGCATTTTGAGTATTATTAATTTTTGTTGTTAGGGTTAACATAAACTAAGAGTGTGAGAGTAGATTTGTGTGTGTGGTGGTCATGGCTGAACTTTCTAAAAGGTTCCTTACATTTGGGATTAATAGTCATATTCGGCACATTCCGAGCCGAGCATATAGGTACCAGGCAGGGGCAGGTAGAGGGGACGAACACCAAAAAATATTTGATGATATTATTTTGTCGTCAAAGGAATGAAATGTTAAGATGTGGTTAAGATTTCTAGAAATAGAAAAATATATCTGGATACATTTGGCAAATATGTATGCCAAAATGTAAGTGTAGTGCAGTAGTAGCTTCTTTTAGCTTATTCAGTGTTTTCCATTTTGCCCTCTACAAGATATGAACATTATTTGTACAAAAAAGTTTTAAAAAACAGAATACTGCATAAAAATTGAGAGTTCAATTATTTTTCTATATGCTCTAGTGTATAGTTTCTGTAATAATGCACAGAGATATTCTAGGAAACGTCTAAAATTAAATACATTTTAAAATTTACTATTTTTAATTGTATTAATATTTATAATGGAAAACTTCAAACATAAAAACAGGAGAAAAATGTAATGGACTGACCATACGCCTATCACCCAGCATCAATATTTATCAATATTTGCCAATTTTGTTTGATCAGATTTTAATTTTTAAAGGCATAAGGAGTGATATTTAGAATTATTTGCATATTAAATAAAATAGAGATTAAATAATTTTATGGTATTTATAAGAAATATTTCCATATTTTATGTCATGCATATAGTTCTATAAGAACATATGCCAGTTAGATGCTCAATTCCTTTATTGTAATGTTTAGAGAAAAATGAGTAGCAATATTATCATACATGTTAATCCTACTTTTTTTAGAAAATAACTTCTTACATTCTTTACTTTCCAAAAGACAAATGTGAAATCTTATTTTCACTATGGTGTATCTTTGAGCATTCTATTTTGAGAATTTTAAGATCTTATTTCTGTCACTAACAATAGGCATTCCTTTTAATAATTATGTAGCTTCAGTGATGCTGTATTACTTTAACCTGTCATGTATATAAATCTATTAAAATTCTAGAGAGAAATAATTTTAAATAAAAAAAATTATTTTAAGTATATATCTGATGGCTATTCCTATTTTAATATTTAAAATATCTAAAAGGTCTTAAATTGTATATGTAGTTAATGTATAAGACTATTATTAAGAGGTTTATTTTGAAATTATACAATCTCCCTATTATTTCCCTTTTAATATTCACCATTTTTAAGAGTTTGTAGCTAAATTTCTGGGTGCGTATGTGAAATATAGTTCTCCCTTTTTCCCTTTTATGTTTGTAGATATATTTCCCATGAAAAATGGTGTCTAAAGCAGCAGGACATTATTAACTTTGCATAGGTTACCAGAGAAAAAACAAGTAAGCCCTAATGCAAATCTTCATACAAGACTAAAACTTTGGCTGTCTAAATAAAATTCAATATAGGAATCAATACTTACTCAAGAGCATTCTCATAGCAATACTAAAATAAGCTGAAAGCATATATTTTTAACATAAAAATATATATTTTAGTAAAAGAGGTGAAAATTTAATTCAGACAAGATGTCCTTTCCCCCTTTGTAAACATAAAATTATCTTTATACATGCTTTTAACTCTTTTTTTTTTTTTTTTTTGAGACAGAGTCTCACTGTGTTGCCCTGGCTAGAGTGCCGTGGCGTCATCCTAGCTCACAGCAACCTCAAACTCCTGGGCTCAAGAGATCCTCCTGCCTCAGCCTCCTGAGTAGCTGGGACTACGGGCATGCGCCACCATGCCCGGCTAATTTTTTCTGTATATTTTTAGTTGTCCAATTAATTTCTTTCTATTTTTAGTAGAGACGGGGTCTCGCTCTTGCTCAGGCTGGTTTCGAACTCCTGAGCTCAAACAATCCGCCCGCCTCGGCCTTCCAGAGTGCTAGGATTACAGGTGTGAGCCACCGCGCCCAGCCTGCTTTTAACTCTTTATGTTATTATACTATAGCATTATCTTTTGCAAAGTTATCCAAACAATGCCTTTACTTAATAAGTGGACATTTGAAGTCATAGTTGTGCTTACTGGTTTTTTCCCTTCTTGACTGTTGCTGTCTATGGTTGGTCTCTTTTCCAACAAAGCAAAAAGATGTGCAGCCCCAGATTTGGCGTTGGAATATTCAGGTGCCAAAACAAATGTTTCTCCAATGGCCATAGCTCCATATGCAATTGCAGTAAAAACTCTATAAAAAGATAAAGCATTTGAATCTTAGATCCATGGGTCCAATTTAAAATTTAAATTTAGGTTACTTTAATCTAAAAGTAAAGGGGAAAAATAGGGGCACAATAGTATATAATCTTTTGACATCAACAACTAATGGTAAAGACCCAAGGACAGTTATCTTTTTAAATTTTCCACCATGTGTTAATCATCCCTTGCTCTGTACACCAAAATAATCTCTGGAGCTTCGGTAATCTTAAGAATTTCTCTTCCAATTAGAGATGTAGATCAAAGGCCCCAACGAGTGAATGTAAAACTTCTTAGCCACTTTGATATGAGGCTTGCTTGGTTGGAGATTTGACAGAGAATTCAACTGACAATAGGAAGAATGAGACTCCAGTAGTGAGGTTTCAATTTAGACTGTAGATATGATGTGGGATTTTCCCTTTTTTCTTTCTTTCCTTCTTTCTTTCTTTCTTTCTTTCTTTCTTTCTTTCTTTCTTTCTTTCTTTCTTTCTTTCTTTCTTTCTTTCTTTCTTTGTTTCTCTCTTTCTCTCTCTCTTTCTCTCTTTCTTTCTCTCTTTCTCTCTTTCTTTCTTTCTTCTTTCTTTCTCTCTTTCTTGTTTTTTGCATATAATGTAGTTAGGACAGATAACTGAAGCTAAATCACTGGTTATCTGCCTGATGTGCTGCTACACGATTTAGAAAGCAAAACATGAGGATTGTATTTTCTGAAGGTTCCCAAAACAAAGTTTGACTAACATGTACTTTAGCTAAGACTGGAAGAAGAGCTTTGACCTTTTAGGTTTGCAATAGATCATGATCTCAGTTTCAAAACGTGTTAATTATAAAATGGTAAGGGTGCAAATGACGTTTGGAAGCATTCAGGATATTCACAAAATTATGGCATGGCCGTGGTTAAATATTTTCCTCTCATTTTTTATTTCATTTTAGATATGAAAATACTGTATTGGAATGAAAAACAATGCATCTCAGTAACAGAGCTAAAGGCATAATTCAGTTAAATTTCACAGGCAATATTTAAACACTAGGCAGTAAAAGACATCACAGAACCCAGTTGCTTGTCTGTTGTGCCAGATCATAGCGAGGTAAACATGTCTGGTCTCCTTGTGAATTTCTTCTTCGATGGGACCTACCAAAGGGTGGCTTTCGATGCAATTACTTCAGTGACCTAGACCTCAGATCCTGAATCTTGTTGGCTTTACAAAGATCACAGTATAATATATATATGTGTGTGTATATAT